ACTGGAGTTATCATTATTGACTATGTAAGGTCAAAAGATAACATTGCGGATCTGCTAACCAAAGGGTTAAATAGAGAGTTAGTTGGTAAATCATCGAGAGGAATGAGACTTAAGCCCTAGGACGGATAAGTCAATACAAAGGAAACCCAACCTAGTTGACTGGAGATCCCAAGATCTAGGTTCAAAGGGACAACCTAATTGTAAAAACTTGATTAAATCACTTGGGGGATGTTACCTCATGTTCATTCCTATGATGTAACAGTGATGTCCGTCAGGATGAAGGATAAGTAGTAGGCTTTTAATGATTCTTATGCATCGTAAATCGAGCTAAGTAATGCAGGTTACTTGTAATAAGAAATCACCTATGTGAGAAAGAAGTGGGACTGCTTCTAAGAGAATTGTGTGGGGCTCAATTCTTAGAAACTCTCACAGAACCAGATATATGTTCATGGCCAAAACGAACATAATAATAAGAAATGAATAGTGTTAGGAAGAATCCTGTGTGAAGTATATCATCGTTTACACAAACGGCAGAACAGTTCAAGGACAACGCGTCTACTGGTCAGCTAGTAAAGTAAATATACTTTCACAAGGGAAGGTTCAAAGGGTAATACCTACCTATCCTATGCAGGTTTCAACCGTTGAACTTTATCACCAAGTCTCTCGTGTCACGTTTCCGTGTCTCTCCCAATTTTCATTTATGTGGGGGATTGTTGGAAAAATGAGTAAATGGGTCACTTTTGGCATAAGTTTGAGTGGGACCCGTTAGTCTGATTTGAAAGATCAAAGTTGATCTGTGTTCTCCTCCGTGAGAGCATCGAAACCATATATTTACTTACCAAAATTGATTAATGGATGAATGAGAAATTGGAGCTCAAAGTTGGCCATTGGAAGATGATTTATGTGGGAAAAGTGACATTTGTCCCACATAGGAAAATGAAGAAAGCACGAACCACTTTATATATGCCTACACTTTGAAATGGTGTAATCATGTGTAGCATAGAGACTCTCTCCACGTGCGCGTACAGAGGGTGCAAATTTCAGACCGAAATAGCCTTCGGACCTTGAACTTGGGTGCGAGCGCGACTTACGCACACGAATGTCGGACCGAATAAAGCAAAATTCGCCCCTTCAGAGAGCCCATGTTTTTGCAATTTTTTTTTTTTTATTTTGCTTTCTCCAATGATTTTTGAGTTTCTGAAACTATAAAAACTCCAATAAACTCCCAATGGTCACAGTGTTAATGGGTAATAACTCCAATGGACTCCCAATGGTCACAATGTTAATGGGCAGTATGCCTATAAAAAGGCTCATTCTCCATCAATCTAACACACTCGAAAATCTCACCTACATTTCTGCATATACAGTTTCTTCTTTTCTGCATTCCTTGTCCAGTAAGATCTTGTTCTTGTGGTGATATTGTTCGGATACTGGATCAGTTCGCCAGAGTAGTATCTGCGGTGCTCAGATTTTACTATATACCGTTGTATCCTGGGAAACAGACGCTCAGATTAAAACTCAAACACGTACGGTGAGAGGGCGAATCTGTTTTAAGGACACTGTGTTTACACAAGCCTCGGGTTAAAAATTTATATGAAGTTATAAGCATGTCGTTAAATTTTTTTTTTTGTTCTCTGAAATTTCTATTAATTTTCAGCTTTCATGTTTAGATTTATTAAATTAATGTGTTTTACGTAACTTAATATAATTTAGTTCTAAATTAGAATAATATATTGTGGTTTATGATAATTTAGTTTATTGTGTAATTAACTAATATTATAAACCGATATGAGAAAACCCGATATCATTCCACCAACATAATTTCCAATAACACCAACTATCCATTATCCCCAATTCCAAAACCCTTCACCCACATTTTTGCTAACCCGTGTATACCCGATGAACTTCAGATTTTCAGCTCCACTAAATAATGAAAAAGCCATTTCTTCCAAATTAAGCAAACCTATAAACAAATGCAATTTGAAAATCAGTTTTCACATGTTTAACCCTATTTTTGCATTTGACCACTAAGCTCTGGATTCCCCGGCCTCGACAGATGCATTTGACACTTGTTTTTGCACCTGCAAATGGAAATGATTGAGATTTGCAACGAAGACGATGATGGAATGATTAACCTGTAGCATTTAGAAACAGGAGAATGAATATGGTTGTTGGTAATTTGCTTTGGATTTTTAACCTATTTTTATTTTTTATTTATTGGAAAATGAGTATGGGTGCTAGTGAATACGGTTACAGTGCCTGTGTGGGTGTTGGCGTCGACAACTGTTAGCAATTTGCTTTGACCCTGATGGTCAGAGATGGGAAGAATGATTTTGGTTTGGGTTGATTTTGGGTTACGATGATAAGAAAATCATTTTTTAATTATTTAATAGTTTAATGTGGTAAAATGTGGTCAAACTGATTTTGATAGAAAATGGACGGAAAGACTATTTGCGAAACCAAAGTTGTAATTAAGGATGAAAATGTCGAAAAATGAAAGATTAGAATGTTTTGCACAATAATATTGAAAGATAAGAATATTACGTGCTAATTACCCTATACATTTATAATGAAATAGCAGTATATAGATTAGACGCACTAATGTAGATCCACTCACAGGCGAAAAAATCTAATGGAAAACATTGTGATATTATTAATGGGTTTCTTCGGTTATTGAGACGAAACCCAAGTGAAACAAGTGCTACTAAATCATTACAAAAGTGATCGAATTAAAATTAGAAATCACTTGTGTTCTAATAATTCCTCATTTTTTGTCTTTCAATTAATCCTATGGATCTTAAGATTGGTACATTTTTCTGAATCCTGTAGTTTACTCCTAAGTTTGTATTTCTATTTCATAGGGTTGTTGAAGTGAACAAGAAAAACTTACATCATATCGTTCTAAGTCAATTGATTAATATAGAAATTTAGTGCAAAGTTGAGACATTAATTTCCACTAACTTGACCCTCCTCTCACAATACTAACGACTACATTTCTAGACAATCCCCCACAAAGGACAAGACTACTTTGACAAAAAACTTGGTTGGCATTATCCCAATATTAGATATGTCAAATTTGTTTCATTTGAGTTTATGACTTCCAATATTTGGGTATCATGATTAGGTTAGTTCTTTAAAAATGAAAGTGATTGATTAATCAGGAAGAAATGTTATGTTATCTTTTGAGTTTTCGTGTTGAGTTTAAAAGAATAGATTTCAATTCGTTTAAAAAAGCAATAGTTACTAGTACATTTGACTGAACTATACCGAGATAAAAATCAACAGTTCAATCACCTTCTAGTTATGTTTAATTGGTTATGGGTATTAATATTGAGAACTAATCGATTATAGTAAGATTCTCGAATCTATGTAAAAATAAAAATCACTTATATTCCAATATTTTTATTTTTTAAAATCATTTTATTAGTTGAATATTGAAATAGTAGTTGGTGTACCATGCACATGGTGTTTGGCTGCCCATTATTTCGAATTATAATGGGTGGAATAGTATAGTTTGGAGAATAAGTAGTTGAGAAATAATGAATTTTTTTTTTATTTACGTGTAATATTATTTTACGAAAGATTGTGTAATTGAAAATATAAAAAACGAAAATGAAATTTAATTTAAAATTGTGCTGTTTGTCCAGGCTCAAAGTCAGGGAATTTAGCTTTTCTGTTTAATTTAATGGGGCCAAACGGGGCTAAATATAAGTTTTTTTTATTTTTTTTTATTTTACGTGTTATCATTTGAAATCCTGTTACGAATTAAGACAACTTTCTGTATTTAATCACATATTAAGCTTTCAAGCAGAGCCATCCATTTTGTTGCCTTTTTTGCAACAATTAAGAGAGAGAGAGACTTCGCCTTCAACTGCAGGCCGAAAATGACATGAAAGAAAGCCAAGCCTAGCAAGCTCACTAAATATAATAGGCTCGTTTGGTATGATTCTTGAGAAGTTAAAAGCAATTTTTGATATTGCAAAGTTGCTTATTTGACTAATTCTATGAAAATTCTTCTTCTAATTAATATTTTTTTAAAAGAAAACTCGTCCAATGTGACTTTTTTTGGAAGAGAACTTTTTAAAAATTAATTTCCAATTTAAAATTTTCAAGTAACTTCTTGTATTAAAAGTAAAAGTAACAGTCATGTCAAACAATATTGACGACGATACTTGAAATACTTCAAGTTGATAAAACAATTAATGCCGATTTGATACAAATTTTTAAAAATATTGACAACAGCATTCTACATTCTTTAAAGGATGGTATATTTACTCCACATTTTAATTACATTAAAATGTCATTAACCTTTATTCATTATTATCTTCACATCCATAGCTCTTTTTTCCTTGACATTCTCATTTTTAACATCTCGTTGATTGAAAAACCTTGTCCTTAATAATAATTTTCATCCAAAAATATTGTTGATGGCGCTTTAAAATAAGGGTCAAATATTTAATCATGTTTTTGTATTATTATTGTTTTTTTTTTTTTGCTTATTTAATATTACTAGCCCGTTTGGTACGAATTAAAATACGATTTTAATGTAAATCAAAATCAAACAATCAGTATAAATCACATCCTTCATTTCCACAACTTTTCAATCACACATTTCAAAAACATCTATCACAATCTACTAAAAAATTTAATTTTAATCCCCACCAAACACAATCTACAATAGAAAAATGAATCTATCTTTGTAGAAAAACCATAATAAGCAATAATTTATATTAATTTGAAAATAAAAATGCGATGAATTTAAGATATAAATGTGATAATGCACAAAATGAAACATCAGCGATTTCCAAAAATGAAGTGGAGAGAAAAGATTGAATGAAAAAATTGACCGTGTTTTAAACAAACAAATGATAGAATGTCATGTGAATATTATGTAATCCTTTATGTAAATCTTGATATACATGCAGCTAGGTCCTAGCGACCAAATATGGTCAAAAAGGAACCCTAATTGCAAAAGAGTAACAAAAATTGCAAGGCACAGAAAACCAATCAACAGCTCGAAAATAATTCAAGACACCTAAATCCGGCATGAAAGACTCACCCCTGACTAAGAATCTTTCAGCTAGTCGATAAAATCTGAGTTCTCTATATCACCTTAGTATGAAAGGATAAGATAGCAATCAAAAATAAACGCATGAAAAAATAAAAAAATCCACAAGCAAACAGATACTAAGAACACGTTTTTTCTTTCTTTAATGGAGTAAAGAAACCATAGTTTCTTCGAAAGAACGCCTATTCAAAAACCCAAAACTGTTAGGTACCGACTTTGCAAACCGAGCAATTTCTTGAAGCAACTTGACAAGAAACCTATTCTATTTTCTTTACTAGACCTTTGAACTTCAGAAAACTCTAGAACCCAGTCATCAGAAGTCACCTCGGGAGTTGGGACTGCTTATTTCTATCCCACTTCCAAGATAGGGAAAAATTGTGTTTAAATGCACCATCCTTTCTTACTGCACCTACTAATCTACCCATAGATCGAAATAAATTGAAGAAACGCCAAAAGGAAACCCAGCATTAAGTTCAGCGAATCAAGATTCCAGTTTACCATCAGATGAGCTCAACCCAGAAGAAATGACACCAATGCCTTGCAAGTTGAACGTCGACAAAATCTTTGGCAGTACTGGCAATATTTTCAGGGACGGCTTAGAATTGATATACTGCACAACAGCATCAAAAAAATTAAAGTTACAAATTGTAGGTACCTGAGCTTCAGTTTAGATCATATAGAGGCAATACAAGAGTCCTATATCAACAATATCTTGTACCTTTTGTAGATCCCTGTAAAAAGCACAGATTTCCTCCTGGGTAAGGCTACCCTCCTCATTATTTTCTTCCCAGCCCATAGAGCGTAAAAATGCGACCTCTTCTTCCTCTGAAAATAATGGATATGAGCTTGGATATTTCTTTCCATAGCAAAGACATTTTTGACTCTCAATAGCATCACCATTGCAGATCAAATCACCCCCCTCATCGGACAAGTGGCCTCCACTCGAGCTAACTGGAGATTGTGGGTCTCTAGCCTCAGTAGTCCTAGAAGCAGAGGAAACCTGTGTTTCAACAAGCTTCTCAGATACAGATGAAGATGGGGGCAAGCCAGGATCAGAAATAGATGTGGAATTTGCCTTAGACTTCTTCCTCATAAGGTTGAAAAAATCATTTCGGCTTTGTGCTTGAGAAGTGAGGCGCTTCTCCAATGCATTAAGTACGGGCTTGCCTTCAACTGTATGAAGGACCGGGTAGTGTGGGGGATGCCTAACTGCTGCAGATCCAGTAACTGATGGAGCAACAGAAAGTGAGGAATTTGTCATGCTACCACCCGTTGGGCTTAAGTTTTCCTTCACAGCAGGAGAGACGCCATTTCTTTCTCGCACTGGCTTGAGAACTTGAAGCTTCCCCATGCTAGATATCTTTGAAACATCAGGTTTCACGGCTGGACACCGTGAAGAACTGGTAACATGAGGATGCTGCTGATGGCCCACCTTAGTCTTCTGTTTGTCAGAAGAAATTGACACCTGAAACAAAGTTCAACAAGATCAAACCATATATAGTCATAAGCATCTACAAATATGTGGTGTCAAAAAAAAAAAAGGAAGCTGGCCAATCTAAATGGCAAAATTCCTAGAAACTGAGAAGCACTCAAGCAATTCAATTTATTGACAATTTAAATTAAGTTCATAAAATTTAGAAAGAAAATGTTCAGAAACAGAAGTGGAAGAATGACATTTTCCCTCACTCTTCAATTTGATTAATGCCACAGCTATTTCTGTCATAAAGATACATCTTATGCATTCTATAAACATTAATTGAGAATCACCCTAATACTTGCCTATCTTACGAGATGGCAAAGTTATTCAATATGCAAATCTATTGATAGTCCAGAAGAAATTTACCAAGCTCGTCTAAAATTTATCATCTTACTTTAACAGATATTCCAGAAGAAAACAAATTGGCACCAAGCCAAAGAAGAAATATCATATTCTTCCACACCTCTGCGTATTTTTAATTCTATTTTCTTGACTAAATTTGGGAAGTGTGCTTAATATATAACAGATACTGTAACAACTGATGCGTGCAGAAGAGAGTGAAAGTCTACCTCTTCCTCCATCTAGTTACTATACCTCTGTTAAAGAAAAATTAAAATAACAATGACAACAGCAGTCTCAAGAACAGTGTCAAAATAAAATGCATTAGATATAAGCATAGACAAGTCCCAAATATTCCAAAAAATATCAAATTTACATCATTGGTATAATTAGAAAAATATCATATTCTTCCACACCTCTGTGTATTTTTAATTCTATTTTCTTCACTAAATTTGGGAAGTGTGCTTAATATAAAACAGATCCTGTAACAACTGATGCGTGCAGAAGAGAGTGAAAGTTAACCTCTTCCTCCAACTAGTTACTATACCTCTGTTGCAGAAAAATTAAAATAACAATGACAACAGCAGTCTCAAGAACAGTGTCAAAATAAAATGCATTAGATATAAGCATAGACAAGTCCCAAATATTCCAAAAAATATCAAATTTACATCATTGATATAATTAGAAAAATAGCTTTGTATATGTTCAAGTACAGACACAGTTTAATAATAATTTCATCAATATTCTATATCTAGGTAATAAAGGACATAGACTATATTAAAGTAACTAATCAATATTTCCTACCAAAATGTGTCACTAAAAAACTGCAACAAACTTTTCCATAGAAGCATAAAATCTCATCAGTTGTCATCAGGCTGCTCTCTACTTCTTAACCTTAAGCCAAATTCTTCATATTTTCCCTCTCAATATCCTTGTGTGTCTACCACATACCAAGGGGGGAGCAAGTGAAAGAAACATGAGAATAACCACAAGGTAAACGGTTTTGTGTCTATCAAAAGCTCACTTCTTGCCTTTAGAAGACTAGTTAGAAAATGACCTAATCAGCTGGAGTCATTTAATTTATACAAGGACAATTCAAGTGATTCAAGTGATATATGTTATATCACTAGTTACAACTTCATGGCCAACATTATGCTCATCTTGAAAGGAAGGAATTAGTGGATATTTTCCTGTACATATTAACTAAGTGGCTTGCTATAAGGTGAAAAAACTTGAACTACCTTCGATAAAAATTGAACAGAGAAACTATCATAGTCAAGGGGAGGTGAATGGTGGGGTCAAAATTATCTATTAACATATTCTCATTGGAGAAACTATTCAGATGTCCCCCTTAACATTTTGACACGTCACAAAATATTATCTACTTGCTGAGGAAGACATATACTGATATTTCTTACATCATGAATGAGAAAATACTTCTTTTGGCCATTATTGTCACCAATGAAAACGAAACTCATACATAAGTTGAGTACAACCACATCCATCCCTCCAAAAAAAAAATTTAAATAAATAAATGATTAAAAAGAAAAAAGTTCAACAAAGAAAACCAGTGGTTAATATACAATTTTCAATACTCTGATTCAGGTACAGACTCCAACAAAACACATACGATGTTTCTCTCTCTAGAAAGTGGCAGAAATGAAGAAAAGAAAGCTTCAAAGTGTATCTCTCTAGGAATAAATTTTTTTTAAATTGTAGTAACATTACAGTAGTGGGAAAAGTTTAAACTTAGCAAAGCATGTTTTTGATGACTATAGACTTCAAAAATTATCCATTACAGGCCTAAAAGGTAAATAAACAACCATCAAGGTGAAGAAGAAAACCAAGGTTGAGAGAAGCAGTTGGGAGGCACGAGTTCTACTGTGAAATTGTTGATTTTAGTGAGAAAAATTGGCGCCTTAATCAAAGATTATCATTTTGCACATTTTATCATCTCAGTTATGAATTCTCCCAACTTTCATTCATCCATTCTAGTAGCCTTGATCGAGGTTGGTTGGGTTACGATGGTAGAAGTAGGTGAAATGACGATGGTGGTCTTGCGATGTTGTGCGACTGAAGGGAAACAAAATGAATACAAGTGAAACTCAAAACTCAACAATAGACTAAGTTCAGCTTTTAGTTGCCCCCAAAAGGCAGTAAAAATAAGAAGAAACAATGAAGTGCCTAAACTTCCTTAAGTAAAACAACATTATCTGTTTTTCTGCTATGATAAAAAAAATAAAATAAAATAATGTAGCATAATCCACCAACCTTCTGAATATAGAAGACCACAGTATTAGTAGCTTCCTCTATTTAACACTCGTATGAAAATGATAAACTTTCAGGCGGAGATAAAATATTAACTTAATTGGCTTATGCTTCAGTACTAGTTTTAGGAATTATTTTTCATTTTTCATTTTTTTTAGTATGAAAATGATAAACTTTCACTAAGCATCATGCAGGCTAGCTGCACCAAATTAGGCGTGAAAAGGATAATTACAGTAAATAAAAGCTAATAATGTTATTCACATATCTTCAATATTTACGAAAAGAAAAGTATAGGCTATGCGTAAATCTATGTGCATAAAACATACGAACTACAATTACATAAAAGACTGAAGCAACAACCAAAATATACATAGTATATTAATTCGAGGTCCACATAAGTATTGGAGTGAAAACCAGGAGAGCAAGTGTAACTGAATGTCTATACAAAGACAAGGCTCAACACTTAAATACAGGGATAATGATTGTCCATTTATCTAATGATCACACGACTTTATAACCAAATCTGTCAATTTATAAATAGATTTCTCATAAAGGATATTTTCACTGTATTTCAGGGATGATAGATATGAAGTACACCTTAGAACATGAGAAACACTCCAGTTTTACCAAACATGAAGAACGGAAGTCTACAATCTAATGGAAGGTTCTTTATTTATCTAACTATAGAGTATCCTTCAATAGCTCATTTCAGTATGTTCAATTCACTTCGTAAATCTAGAAATTTGGATAAGATATTTCCATTTATCTATAGAAGAAAGTACACTCATTTTAAAAAGTGAAAACTTGGATGCAGGATGATTAAATCCCTTTTCGAACCACGTATTTTCTCTGTTTTTCAAGCTTACATCTTTACTTAGGCTAGCACATGAGTCTCGCACATCAAATTGTCCTCATTTACGTGGTCTTCGCGCGTATTTTTTTGATTATATGAACTTATGTGAGTCATCAATCATCTAATATTCTATGGCCAAACTTCTTGTGTCGTGTAACTGATGAATCAATGGTCTCTTCTATCTAAAAACTGAGCAGGATTCAAAAACAATAAAACAAAGAAGTATTGCTCTCTTACCAATGCTTTTGGCAAAGATGGCGTCACAGGAATCAATTGTTTAGATTTTCTGATGGCACGTTCTTCAAGCCTCTGAGTTCCAGCAGATAACTACCCAAATAAAATGGTGAATAAGCATAAGAACTTTCTATGTTATCCCCAAGCAAATGGATAAATGAACCTACCTGAGGAGTAGTCTGAGTGCGAGGAGGCCCCTGAGCCACAGCTTCAGCCATATTGAGACCAGTGGTCATGCTCAATGCCATGGTGGCAGAGTTTAAAGGAGGGGCTTGCTGGGAGGAAACTCCAGTCCCGCTACTTCCAGCTAACACAGGCACCTCTGCCAGAGCTGATGTCCATTTTTCACCACCTATCACGGCTGAGGTACCAACTGGTAAGCTCTGAATGACAGCACTCAAACCGGGAGAAGCAACTTTTACAACATCAGGAGCAGCTGATCTTTCTTCTGCTCCCAGGGAGGGAAAATCTCTTTCAAATGAGGCTTTGTTCACACTGCCAATGGGACTGTTTTTGCTAACCAACCCATTGCTATTGTTTCCACTGGCATTGCTAGAGTCAATTAAGATTTTCTTAGGCCAGGTATCTCCATGTTTCCTAGAGACCAGTGAGTGCGAAAGTCTTAACCCATCCCTTTCAAAACTAGTAGACAAAATTTTCCCTAACTGGTCTGAAAAGTCTTGCCGCCTACAGTCCCCAAAAACTGATCTTTCTTTGTCACCAGAATCATATGCATCCTTCTCCCATACCCCATCTCGGTGGTTTCTATTGAAACTATTGTAAGACCTCAAGTGAGTCGAACCATTACTACTAGAACTACGGCGAAAATAAGAGGAAGTAGTTCTGCCAGAACCAAGTGATCGCCCTAAATCATGACCATTACTATTCACTGAAGACCTATTTCTTGCGAGCTTCAATCCAGTATTATCATCTAAAACAACAGAAACACAGTTAGATCCCAGCATAAACCAATTAAGAAGAAGACATTTGATACCATTTGATACCAGATGCTTCAAAAGGATGATTAAGATTACCTGAATGCAATGTAGAGCCACCACCAATCAGACTCCCAGCATTTTTCAACCATTCCGGTACTAACGTGGGCTCACTTCTTTCCATGACTAGTGCCAAACATGATCATAAAAAAGAATAAATGACTTGTCTTGTTCAAATTAATGACCACACATTCAACTCCACGCATTAACGATTGGTAACTGCCAGATTTCCCCACCCAAATAGAAGTGAAAGCATCTTCACCAAGTTAACCCAAACGTATTTTAACCTGAAATCTAGTACACACTAATCCTACTTTCCCTAACACCAAAGTCCTTGGCGCACTAGCATCAACTCTACCAATCAAAAATTCAAAAGTTGCCCATCCATTCCTCCCAAGAAAACCATTCTCAAATAAAAGAATCAGAACTGTTCTATACAGGGTCAATAGGGTTTTCTTTTTCTCTCTGTACAATTTATATACGTGTGAAATCCAATCAACAAGAAATCTACTGACATTATTAACAATGCCAAGCTTCTGCAATCTTTTCAATGCCCAGAACCGGTATCAACAAAGGCTTCTCAAGAGGTCCATGTTCAAGAAAAAAACACGCCAAGAAGACCCTCATCGCACTAACAGAAAATTTAAACAATACCCTACTCCATGCATAAAATTTGGAAAAACCAAACAATTCTTCAAGAACCACTTGTATGAAAACCAGAGATACTATAAAAGCCCAGAACCCAAAATCATCCAAAGACGACAAAAAATCCCAAAAGTTCAAGAAAAATCCGATTGGGTTCAGCAGTCCGGTTTTGTGCGAAACTACCAAAAATGTCTAAGCGTTGAAGATTAATAGGAATACCAACTGACCCAGATTTTATTAAAGAAGAACAATATACCCCGAAGTCTTATGTGTAGAGAAAAAAACCCTAGTCTTTCTCGCCGCCTCGAGCTGTTTGTTTCAGAGCCTTAATATTTGTGTATGCAAATTTCAAGAGAGAGAAGGCCCAATCTGTTTCCTTTTCCAATTTCTGGTCTCTTTATATACTGTGTGACGAGTAAAATGAAGATGATTGTTCGTGTGTTTTTGTAGAGAAAGGAGATTATAGATAGAGATTTGCGTGTATATGTATGCTTGTTTAGAGGAAGTTGTGTTGTGTTTTTGTGTCTCTTTCCCTTGTGTGTGAAGGATTTGGGAAGAAATTCATTTTTAGCCCTATTTGTTTATTTGATTTTATTTTTTTATTAAAAAAATATATATCTATCCCCACAGAAATTATTAAAATTTATTTTTCTTTAAATTCATTTTCAATCACAAATTTTTCAATAAAATAATTTTTAACATGAATATATTAAATTTTCACACTTTTAATCACATATTCTCCGAAAATTCTTTATTTACACAAATTTCATTCCAAAAAAATCTACATCATCGAACTACCCTTATGTATATTCATTTTTTAAAAGCTATATATGCTTGAAGTATTGACACAAACATATAACTATAAAAGATAATAGATAACAACAAAACATAAAATCAAATCAAATCAATTTTCAATAATATTTTCTTGTTCGATGGATAGATGATGTTTTGATGACAACTCATACAACATACGCTTCTCACGAGCTTTCGTAAGAATATCAATTGTCTGATCAAGAGATGGTGCTTGACAAACATCGAATTTCCTCCACATCACTTTTTCTCTAACAAAACACAAATTCAACTCAATGTGTTTGATTCTATAGTGTAAAACTAGGTTAACAGATAATACCATTATACTTAAATTGTTACATTTTTTCAAAGGCAAAGTTGATAACTTAACCTCAAATTAGTTAGTAGAACTTGCAACCATAGAATTTCTATTGTTGCATTTGCTAAACTTAACTCTCAAATCAGTTAGTAGACAATGCAACCATAAATTTTCTGTTGTTACATTTATTAAACTTCGATACTCAACCTCTGTTGAAGACTTATAAATGGTTTGTTGCTTCTTTGAACTCCAAGAAACCAAATTTCCTCTAGATATACATTTTACCTTGATGTAGACCTTTTGTTATCAAGATTAGATGCCCACTCTACATCTAAGTGCCCTGCAATGAAGAGATTAGATGGCTTATTGTCCTTGAGTAACATGTTAAGATAGATGATCCATTTGAGATACCTAATGATTCTTTAACATCTCTCCAATTAGGTTCATTTTTGTGGTGACTATGAGATATGAGGCCTTGATTTTTATGGTGACAATATGCAATGTTTAGTGGTGGTGAGTTGAATAATAGTACAGATTGATGGTTGCAATGCAAATCAGAATGATGACAATGGTAACGAGGTGGTGGTGGTGGTTGTGGAGGCTCGATTTCAAGCATGGTGGTGGTAAGTGGGCTAGCCTACAATTTTGCAAGTGGTTGATTATGGTGGAGACAAACAGGGACAGTCTAGTAGTGGCGTAGATGGTAGAAGATGGTGCAAATTGTGACTTAGTGAAAATTGGCAACGGTGGTAAAAACAACTCGTAAAATGTGCATAACACAGTGTTGCACATGTAAAACATTGTGTTACAAAGTGTAACAGTTTTATTAAAAAAAAAAAGTGAAACAATGGAGTAAAAAAAAAATAACAAGGAAAAATGGTATTTAAAAACAGTAGTTTGTCTTAAAAAAAAGGGTAATTATCACAAAATATTCTTACCTTTCAATATTATTGTGCAAAACGTTCCTACTTTTTATTTTTTTTTTTGCATTTTCATCCTTATTTACATTTTTCATTGCCAAAATCATCATTTTTCATCTATTTTGTCAATTAAAAGCTATGAAATGATGAATTACCTTCATATTTAAACAAAAAAAAAATAAAAAATCACAACTATACTCCTAAAATTTTTAAAAAATAAATAATTCAAAAATTCAAAATTTGAAAAACAATTATCACTTTCTTTTCAACCCTCTATTCTACCACCACCATTCACCATCGCCATTGTACCCAAAAAAGGCCAAACAACCACCACCCAAGCTGTCGAACCTCTATACCTCCGAACAATTCCCACATCCCTCTAAACATACTACTCAAAAACCAGCCACTACGCCAATAGATTTGACAGAAATGAGTGCTCAAAATCAGCAAGTTGAAAATACAGAAAGTGGCGGCACCACCTTTTTCAGTGTTACCCACCATCATGGACCACAATCGATTAGGTCACACACCCAAGGCAAACAACTACTTCGAGAGAATTTATCAAACAAAGGCCAAACAATAGATGAATTTTCTAGGTTTCTCCCACATATCATGCACGGACGGGCGATTTTCTCCCATTCAATTGATGGCTCCCACATAATCTAATCCACAAATTCTCTTGGAGGAAATCAAATTACATTCAAACGACAATAGATAACCGTTAAGTGTTTCCGAGTTGGAGGTTTTGGCAGTTGATCGCAGTCAAATATGGTAGGGCTTGGGCGAGTAGGTTGGTGTGCTGCAACGACGAGATATAGGCTATATGGTGGTGATAGTCGGTGGCTAAGGTGGCGGTTAGGTAGTGTTTTCGACGAGTGAAAGTGGGGTTTAGTGTTTGCAAGTTGGAGCTTTTGGGCGTTAATTGCAGTTAGATCTGGTAGGGTTTGGGCGAGCAGGTTAATGCGTTGTCATAGTGGGATAGAAGCCTGTATGATGATGACAGTAATCGGTGGTTAAGGTAATGGTTGGATGGTGTGTTTGACGAGTGAAAGTGGCAAAAATCCTGGTGCCGCCAAGTTTAGTGTTTGCAAGTTGGAGGTTTTGGCGCCTCCGGGGCATAACCCAGTGGTGCAAAAGATAGGAGTGAGGTAGTCTCAGCCTTGCTAGCAGTTGCAGTATGAGAGTTCGATTACTGAGTTATGTAATTGGACTATTTATGGGCACCAGTGTACGAACAATCTCTTGTTCCCTGACCTGTTGGGGCACATCCTGCGATTTACCTCTCTCACGATGCTCCAGGGACGGGGGTGGGGCCTTAAGGTTGGGGTTCAACCTTTAAGTTGGAGATTTTGGCTTCCAGTTGCAGTCGAATTTGATGGGATTTGGACAAGCACGTTGGTGCATTGTGATGGCGGAATGTAAGAATACTGTTGCATTTATTCAATCACAAGCGTACAATATTGTAACAAGTAATATAATGCACCTTTGAGTCCGAAATGAAGGGTTGTTGTTGCAATTTGTTCTTTATTTTTATTTTTGTTTTATTTAAATAGAAGAGTATGTTTGTTATTTTATAGTTTAATTGACAAAATGGATGAAAATGATAATTTTCACAATGAAAGATAAAAATAAGGGTGAAAATGTCAAAAAATGAGGTAATGTTTTATGCTAATTACATCGCACAATATTTTGAGAATTTTTTTTCTTTTAAGCTTATGCTATTTCTGGAATTTTCCCTCTTATAGCAACAAATTTGTTCTGAACCTAGCCAACCAAGCCTTTAGTTCTAAGATAGAAACACCTTACGACTTGTTGCATCAAATTTGAAATAAACATGGCCTAATCAATTAAAAGGAAGCTACACGAAGATAGAACAAACAAGGGGTTTAAATGAGTGGACTTTTTTCTCATTCATACCTTTTCATTTGAAGTTTCATGAACAATTAAGGTATGGATAATGCAAACAAATATACAATCCCCTTCCTTCTTTACAATTAACAATAAGTAATTTCATCACCTTCCCTCTCCTGCCGTGGTGATAGAGAGAGAGAGAGAGAGAGATGGTTTCCTTTTAAATTTTGGAGTCACGGGCACGGAAGAAAAGGAGGGACATCTCGTATAAACTAGGCACACAATTGAGAAGAGCCAAAAAGAGTGATATAATCAACTTTCATTTCTGGGTTCCATGAATGCACTAGAGGAACCTACTAGTCCCAATAATTATCAAAGCGCTTGTTGGAACCATTGAGATAGTATGAATTCGTGCCTGCGTTAAAAAAAATCATAGGATCAAATCATGGATTAAATATGAAGTACGATTTACTAGATAGTAAGGCATGATGTAGATGGACGATAGAAAAGGTTGTCAATATGTTTGCCACGAATCATGAACCAATTAAAGCAATGAATAACACTAAAAACATTATCTTTCTATCTAGAGGAGTCTAACACTTGAATAAAGGTGAAACAATATTTGTGCTTGACGAGATTAACCCTGCAGTGACAACAGACGGAAAATGTTGAAATCAATCCTTCATACTCCATCCGTCCCAATTATATAGGCTTGGTTTTCATTTTTTCTCGTCTCAAATATATAATATTGTTTTCTAATTTAGAATATTTTGTTTTGTTTATTTACTAATATACCCTTATTTAATTTACCTAATTACAATCAATTTTCTCCACTTGATTTGCCTATTTCTTGAAATCATGCAAATACACACATTTCCTAATAATTTGCCTACTTCTTGAAATCAAAATTTCAAATTCTCTACTAATTTTAACAATAATTTAGTACAAGTTGTTGCAAATTAAATATGGGGCAAGCTAGAAAAATCTTGACAAAAATTACTTTTTCAATAACATTAAATAAGATTTTTTTTAATCCATGTAAAAAACAAAACAAACCTATATAATTGGAACGGAGGAAGTAATTATTAACCGATAGTCCCCTCACTCTTTTCACGATCTTCCAATCATGGAAACCCAGTAATTCCGTTATTAACTATATAAAGATCCTTGATACTGAATATGACAAGCAATTTAAAGGGTCAGGCAAACAGAAGTGCAAAACTTGAACAAAAATTTAAATCTAAAGAAAAATTTCTCTCTCAATGTATGTATGCACACTTAAAGCCCACCCTGCAAAGCAACACTGTGGTGATAGATAATTTTGTGAAGCTTCAAATGCAAGAACCTTGTAGAATTTTGAATATGGCACAACGTCATAGATACTATAAGATTCAACATAATGTGGTTTACGATGAATAAACGGTTCGATCAGAGTAGAAAAATGCATACATAGCCCATACAGAACATACAAATGCAAGTCAACATTTTAAGCATAGAGTGTGTGCATTGGCATGGTACTAGTGCATGGCGTACATAGGGGGTGTCCAGGGCAGCCCAAGCCCAACTACTTTTTTTACGTATGAAATAAGAAAAATACTTATATTATCATTTTAATACACATTGGCCCAATTCTTTTTTGATATACATTA